AAAAAAAAAAAATACAATTAACCACAAAAAATAGAGATTAAATACTCTGTCAAGTGTTCTACTCAAAATTGGGAACTCAGACAAATTCCTGCAATAGTAAAATCCCAAAAGCAATCCCAAAAAAATAAAGAGCTTGAAAATTTATTCCGAGACTCGAAGAGCGAAAATCGAGAACAATAACCAGAAAATTCAAAGAAAGTAAACAGTACCCTTCAACTTCAATAAGAACTGCGAAATTCTGAGATGGGCTCTGCTCAGTAGGGTTTCTTGCGGAGGCATTGCAGATGAGCCGATCAGACCGCAGCCTGTTGTTAATTTGACTGTAACAGTGAATTTTATTTGGGCAAGTGAACTGAGAATTACAACGAAAGTGGTTGCCATGGCTGAGGTACAACAGCTTCGGAGTACTACCGGCGGCTCCCGCGGTGGCACGGCCGCAAAAGCTGGGCGTGTGTAAAATTGGGCTGGAAATGGTTTCCATCGAAGACCAGATTTTCTGCAGTGGGTTTGTCATTTGTGTACACCGCTTGCCATAACAAACACAATATTGTGGGCCTTTTTTATCAACAAAAATTAGTATTTGTATTAGAAAATGTTACACTTTTATGATATTTCATTTTAAAATTCAATGTTGCTATAAAATCAATTGGTTGGTTTCCTTATGGAACCAACACCCAATGATTTTGCTCCATGTGGGGCTGTCCCACATGGCCATGTGGGACAGCCCCACATGGAGCAAAATCATTGGGTGTTGGTTCCATAAGGAAACCAACCAATTGATTTTATAACAACATTGTATATCTGTATGCTTATTAAGTGCAGCACGGCGGACGACTCGAACTTTAACTTCCACCCAGTGTGTGACCAGCTAAAAATTATACATCTAGCATTCGTCGACAATCTTATGCTACTTTTCGGGGGCGAGTCAATGTTCATCTAAATTCTCATGAATTGCCTCAAAGACCGGAAGGCTAAATCATGGCTAGAAATTAATCTTTAGAAATCCAACATTTATTTGGTGCGGTTGTGGAAAATGCTAACCGAGCAACAATACTTGAAGACACGCACTTGCAGTGTAGTTCCATGCTCTTTTGGTACGTAGGAGTCGCCCTCATTGCTGAACGTGTCACTGCGAGTCTCTTTGATGGCTTCATCAATCAGATTGAGATGCATTTTAGTGGATGGGGTGCCCATGCACTCCCATATGTCGGTCGAGGGAGCTCATTCACTCGATAATCTAATGAGTGCTTTTGGTTAGAGATTTTTTCAATGCCTACAATAGTACCAAAATCACCCAACTATGTAGCCAATTTCTCTGTGTCTCGAATAGTGCTCCTATGGCTTGGGATTACATTTGTCTCCCGCGTCTGGAAGGAGGATTGGGACTCCGTGATTTGAAAACCTGGAACCAAGGGTTGCTTACGTGCACACTTTCGAACATGCAGGCCAAAACGACCACATTATGGCACAGATGGATCCACCATATTTATATACAGGACAAATCTATTTAGGGCTGGGATATACACAAAAATGACTCGCCACTTTTCAAATTTCATTTCGAGATCCGAAATGCCTTGATAGACAAAGTGAGTGGTGAGCAAGTAGGAGTCTCGCTTCATTGGTGGAGTTCGCGAGACAAGAAAGAAGGGACGAGAAGTTGCTATGATTTCTTAAGGCCACGCGAAATAATGGTGCCATGGTCGAGTGTAGTGTGGTGACCTTGCAACACCCCACAAACACCCATTCATATTTATGTCTGTGGGTGCCATGTAGCGCTGCAGCTGAATCAACAAGTCACCTATTTTCTGAGTGCACTTTAGCTCTGAAATTTGGGAGGTGATTTACGAATGAGTTGGACTCCATCATTGGTCACTGACACTTAACGGAGCCCGTAAATGGACAAAGAAAGAGTCACAAGGGGCAAGTTGGCAAACCAAGTCGAAGAATGCGACACTCGCAGTCGGCGGCCACCGTGTACTTCATTTGAAATGTTAGGAACATGTTGATATTTGAAAAGGAATCTCAACTCTTGATCCTTGTGATTCGTAAGATCCAAATCCATGTTTATTGTACGAATTTTGTGTTGTTACTCTCAAGTACAAGTACATAATTATATATATAATTTTTTATTTTTCATATCCAAATTCCAATTCACCAGCATGAGGGCATTTTGGACAAATTTTTACAACGGCTAGTATGATCCTGGCCGTTGGATTATCAATAAACGAAAGCCTATATTCTTCGGGCAAATTAACATTCTGACCGCCCTCTCCACTTTCCCTGTTTGGCAGCAAACTCGAGAAAAAAAA